TATCTTATGCTCCTACTCAATGTTTCTCAATCTCAATCTATTTCTCTGTTTCCCTTTCTCTCTAACTCATGTTGTTATCTGTAAACTGCAATCATCCTCTCTTCTGAGCTCTGTCTGCTGACCCCTTCACCCTCCTCATGAACGAGCACACTCAGCATGAAGTCCCTATGAGTCATCATCACATCTTATAGCTGTGTCTCCTACACTTGTTATGTCTGTAGACCTTCTCTCTGTCACTGTGTTCTGTGTGTCTCTCCCTCAGATCTCTCCCACATTTACTCTTTCTGCTGCCGCAAGTCCGGGTTCCTCAATGTACCCACCTCCCCCGCCACCATTCTTGTCATTTACCGATGACTGTTAGAGCAGATAAATTCCCCCCAGTGTCTTTTTAATTGATAAAAACTGGAGCAGACAGACCCTAGAGCAGTTGCCCATGCAACCAATCAGCATCGATCTTCAGTTTGCTCAGGTAAGATTTGAAAATAAGAGATGCTGATTGGCTGCAGTGCAAATTTGCTCCAGATTTTGATACTGTGTGGTGTCACCGGAGATGTGCAGGGTCACCTGAGATGTGCAGTGTATCGCTGCATCCCTAATTGAAAATTTTGTCTGGAGCACTGATGCAGATAGTAGTTTCCATCTTATATTTGTATTGCTTTTGTATATTTAACATTGAACTGTTTTTGTAATAAGTACACTGTGGATTGCTTGGTATGAGTTAGGTGACCATTCGGGGGTAGGAAACGTAATCCTCCTGTCCCATCGAACTCCTGACCAGACAAAAACCCAAATCCAACTGGGTGGGTGCGGTAGTGACAATGGATGCCTCCGTAAAATGTAGATAGATGAAAGTAGTCACTCGCACTCCATGATATTAAAGTCAATGCTGTTTATTGACTGAGATAACACACATCTCCTTAGCGACGTTTCGAGACCATGCGGTCCCGTCCTCAGGCAAACAAAAGAAATCAGTTATATTTTGTGTCCAGTAATTGCTCAGAACAAAATATAACAAATTTATTTAGCAATCACAACAATCCTCCAACTGTAGTCAGAGGTAAAAAAAAAATCTCCCGGTCACTCTGCACTGCCCAGGGGGAGGTACCACTATGAATATTAATGATGCTCGTGCACGAGACACGCAAAGCATTGTGGGGGAAAGTTTTTCCACTCCCTACACTCCATTTAAAAAAGAAAACATGTGGAGCCTGAGAGGACAAGTAAAAAAAAAAAAAAAAGTACGTTTTTAGGATCTGCATATGCCAGCATCATCTACACACCCTGTACATTGCTGGCATTTAATAAAATAAAAGCCTCTGCAAAGGTGTCCTTTAACCACTTCAAGACCAGGTGTTTAGACCCCCTTCCTGGCCAGGCCATTTTTCAATGCACCCGCGAGGGGGCGTGTCTGAACGGATGTCTAAAGACGCCCGCTCAGATCTAGAGAGCTCCGGGCCGGCCGTTTTTTTTTACTACGGCCGGCCCGGAGGCAGTTAAGCGACTGACAAAGACCAAATTGTGATGGCTGGACAACTGGGTCAGAGCAACTCCAAAACTGCAGCTCTTGTGGGATATTCGCAATCTACCAAAAGTGAACTGGCAACTAGATCATGGACGGCCAAGGCTCATGGCTACACATCGGGAGTAAAGGCTGGCTCATGTGTTCCAATGCAATAGAAGAGCTACTGTAGCTCAAAAAGTTTGGATTGAAAGGTGTCTGAATACACAGCGAAAGGCAGTTTGTTGCGTAGCTGCAGATCAGTCATGGTGCCCATTTTAACCCATGTCCACCACCAAAATCACCTACAATGGGCATGCGAGCATCAGAACTGGACCATGGAAGTAGGTGGCCAGGTGTGTTTAATCACGCTTTCCTTTACATCACATGTGTGTGTGGTGTCACTTACCTGGGGAAGAGATGGCACCAGGATGCTCTATAGTAATAGGGCTAGCCAATGGAGGTAGTATGATGCTTTGGACAACGTTCTGCTGGGAAACCTTCAGTCCTGCCATTCATGTGAATATTACTTTGACACATACCTAAACATTGTTGCTGACCAAGTACACCCCTTCTTGGAAACTATTTTATTTTTGTACATTTACTTTATAGGGGGTCCTCCTAATCTACAGATGTAGGCAGAAGATGTAAAGAGCTGCAAGAGCCCAACACTCTGTACCGACAAGAAGTGCCATGACCTTATTTGTAACATCACTACACTCCCGATGTAAAAAATACACATAAAATGGCACTGGTACAAACAGCAACTGTCCCTGTGCAGTTTTAAAAAAGTGTCTGGGACCTGGGTTTAAAGCATGTCAGCAATAGCATTCCCTCTACACCTATGTAACACCTGTGTAATTAACAGATAGCCGTAGGCAGGATACCTCTTGGGGTTCATTTACACCTAAAGTTCTGCAGTAACATGTGGTACTGTGTAATTTACCAGAGTACATTGCAGTGATATTTAAACATGCAATGTTATTAATTTTGAAAGGCATCCCAAACACATACACAATACACACCTGTGCTACATTGCACGTGTTGCAAAGAGAAGAAAAAAAAACCTGTAGGAGTGATTTTTTTTTCTGCATGGGGAAATTCAAAATGAATACACTGCACACAAAGCATATTGCAGCACATACATTACCACAGGACAGTATGATAGGCCCTCACTGATGGTCTCCAAGACACTTCCTCCCAACAGACCATACCACCTGCTATGACTGGCTTTCACTCATCAATACCTGTTCTTTTGCTTCCTTTCACACCCCTCTATCAGATTCTCTTCCAATTACTCAGTCTGCTTCTACCTTCAGCAGCTCATCCGCTTCCTATGTCTAACCAACTCCCAAGGTTTGAGGATGTGCTGAACATTCTATATTACCAACTGTTTTTACCTTTTAAACTCTATTCTGAAACATTCTATTCCCAAGACTCCAATCTGCACACTGTGCTGTATGTTCTTATCTCTCCACATCATACGGTATTTTATAATCCACACAGTTCCAATCTGTCATGTATATTTGCTACCCACCATTACAATTGGTATAATGTGCTGTAAAAGCCATACCTGTATATTATGCATGACCATATGATAGACTGTTATGCTCTGTACACTCCTGCACACACTCATGCACACTATCTGTTGTGTCCCCTTAAACACTGCAAAGTCAGGATGCAACAATCATAGTTGTCTTGTTCTTGATTTTTTTTTTAGTATTCCCCAAGGCCAGGGGTGCCCATTAGGCCGATCGCGATCTACCAGTCGATCGCAATGCGAACACTGGTAGATCGCGATCGGCTCATTGACCTGTCTTGTCCCCCCGCGGTGCTCGTGCGGCTGAATGTGTCAGATGTCGCAGATGGGAAGGGGCGGGACACCTCACCCAGTCTGCACATTCGGCCACACGAGCACCGTGGGAGGACAGGGCGCAGGCGCACGAGGAGACTGGGAAGCTGCTGCAGTGGAGGTAAGAAAAGACAGACAGGAGAGAGACGGCAGAGAAAGTGAGAGAAGAGAGACAGCAGAGAGAAACAGGGGAGAGCGCGGGGAGAGATAGAAGAGCCAGTTCACACCACAAAGTCTGCGTTCCAGAGTGTTCGGCCTGTAGAACGCAAGCCTGTTGGCTCCGTGTTCAGGGACGGGGGGGCATTGAAGCCAATGGCACAGCAGCCACACCCCACAGTGCGATCGCCACACCCGGTCCAGTGCAATCTACAAAAATAGTGCTTGCAGCATTTTTGCACATCGCACTGGACCGGAACGCAGGCATTAATGTGCCTGTGTTCCGGGTGCGGGAAATCACACTGCGGGCGTGGCTGCGGTGCCATTGACTTTAATGGAACACCACACCCCGTCCTACCCTCAGGGCAGGTGTTTTTTCTTGGTAGATCTCATTGAGCTTATCATTTGAATAGTAGATCTCCAGACGTAAAATTGTGGGCCCAAAGGCAATGTCAAACAGTACAACTATATCTTATCTGAAATTCGAAATGAAATCTGTTACCCTATGGTTATTGCCCCTTTCTGATGACAACTTCCTTTAGCATTCCCTCCTATTTGTACTATTACAGTGTGAAAGATAGAACAAAAGACACTTGCAACTCATAAGTTTATTAGGGGAGAAAATAAAATAAAAAAAAAAAACATCTGCAAAGAAAGGAGAACTTGACCAACATCAGTTCACTATTGCACAATACTACATTGTTACAGTTTTCAGGTTGGTGGTGGGAGGTACTTTTCATAAAGGATGGGTTGAATAGGGAGGCTGGGATAAACAAAGAAAAAGGGAAAAAAATAAGTCAGAAAAAAGAAAAAAAATGTTGGGAAGGGAAGGCTTTGACATTTGATATTACCCAATATTTACCTGCTGCAAATAGGACAGAAAAGAGTAAACCAAAAATAATGGAAAGGGAAAAACAAAAAATGAACTAAGAGGGCCAAATTAACACAACCATAAAAACACATCTTCTCAGAGGCTACAAGGATCCAGCAGTGGTAAGTAATTCCAGGAAGATACAGAAGGGTTTTCAGCGCAACAAACTTCTTTCTTCATTTGCAGACTTTTTGGTTAAGACAGTTCTTTTTATACAAGAAAGTCTATTTTTTACGCCAAGGCAGAGCAGCTTGTGGTACTTATTTTGTTTCTCCCATTCTAGGAGTTGGATTTTTCCTTTATCATTCAGGCCTTCTCCCCAGAGCCACAATAGTTGTTTTAGTGCAGCATGTGGACAAAGGCTTTGTGCAAGTGAGGTAAAGAGAGAAAAAAACAAAACTGAAACATAGTTAGTGTCTGTTTACAACATTAAATATATTATAAACATTCAAAATACAAAAAGAAAAAAACTTTGTTTTACTTCAAAAGAAACCCTTAAATACAAAATGTACATACAGCTTTATAAAGAGCTAAATAGCGTATTTTATGTACAGAACACAAATTTAATCTAAAGTGTAAAAAAGCTAGAGTTCCAGTTTAAATCTCTCAACCATGTCAAGACCAAATGTCTTCCTAACAAAGTTGAACCATTCTGTTCACCTTGTAATCCACAAGTGGGCTGTCTATTAGATCAGAAGGTCTTCTACAGGTATAGATTCTTTAATAACTGCCTTGCCATATTAACTGGTATCCATCTTCCATCCAGCAACTACAGTATGTTCAGATAGCATTGTAAAAACAAAGCATTTAACACTTATCTTCTGGTAGATCTGGCTTATATGGCTGAAGTCAATCACATCAATGGTAATTCTACGTTGAGAGTGCCAAAGTACAGCACTTTAAACAGAGAAAATTACCACGGTCTGAAATGGCTTTCACGTAAATTGGAGAAGCCCAGGTTCAGAGTGGAAAACACAGTCAAGGTCATGGATTCTCTGATCATAAGTAGATCCAATACAAGCATAATGTTTCACATACACACATAGTGTGAACTTTACTATGTGTTATAAAACACATTTAAGTGGAAATTCAAATAATTAAAACGGTCAGAAGTTTGGCAAGACCGTTAAGCTTTGCTTGCAATCAATCTTGCTGGTGTCGTTCCCTGCATACACAAGGGACAGAGAAGCCAGGAAACTATGGCACTCCTCCTCACTCTCGAAGGCCAACTCTGACTGAATGTAGGAAACTGGGAGCACCGGACGAAAACTAAAGAATTAAAAAAAGCAGCAAGGAAAAAGGAGCAAAAGAAAAACAGAGTTAGAACAATTATAACAATATGCGTTACCCACCTGAAATAAAAGGTTATGAGTTCACAAGCATACCTACCTTTGTAAATCCACTAACTGCAGGGTGCAAAACACTTTGAAGTACAGCAGCAAATATGTAAATGTATTTTACACAAACATTTAGATGATTTTAATACCCAGTATTAAAGTGAAAATTCAAAATGTCGAAACAGGTAGGTGTGTATTGCAGAAAATACATACGTCCCTGGAATTCAGTGTCAGTCACACTTTAGAATGTCATACCTCTGCATGACAAATGTCCATGCCCGAGGCAAATTATTGTACCTCTTCGAATCAGGTATATACATTTCTCACATGGAGGCATAGTGGGGGAAAGGGGGTGGGACACAGAAGCGTGTCCATACCACCGACCTCAGTGCATAGTCACAAAAAGTGAATTTGTCACACACGTTGGAATTAACTATGGCACTGTCCCAAACTTTTTAGGGAATGTCTATTAAAAAAAAATATTCCCAAACCCAGAACACAAACAAGTGATGTCAGCATCAGTGAGGGGGCTCGCTGGACAGGCGGCAAGTAGCGTTCCTGTTGAAGTAATTACTGTACTAGAATCCGATAATCAGCTAATTAAAATGTATTATGCAAAAAATAAAAAGATGACATTTGATGCAGTCCATCACTGGCATTATTGCAGTTTGTGTTTATCTAAGCCCCCATTTCACAGTCCCATTATTTGTTGATACTGCCAGTAATCAGTTTTTTTCCCCAATTCCTGTAAAAGCCAAGCAAAATTGGGAGTTACAGGGTTGGGGGGGGGGGGGGCCAAAAACATTACT